GAGAGACTGGAGCGCGGCGAGTCTGTTTACTTGACAAAGAACCAAATATCGGACGCTCTGAGAATCCTAACAGACAGAAAACACAACGTCCTGTCGAGACTTCCTGTAGCAAGGACGACAGCAATCACACTTCTGACATGGACAAGAGACCAGGATGTAACAATGGCCACAGTGTAAACTAATGAGTGATAGTGGTAACTTTGCATTACATGAGTGGAATTGAAGACTTCCAAGCTGCCTTAAACCCTCTATGTACTCGGCCATGACGGCACGCTGCAGGAGCCTGAATGCAGTGCTGTGGTGTTGGGTTACACAGATGCAGTAGAAGTGCAGTATGTGGAGGGTTTTTGTCATTGTCTGGATACAAGCCTCTGTTAGGTTGAAACAGCAAAATGTGTTCATGTAAAAGAAACATAATTCTTTATCATCAGCTGCCAATTTCAAACAGGCCTTAGGATCCTCAAAACATCGTCTGATCTGTGTCTTTTTTAAAAATCTTTATTGGAGAAGAATTCGCATTGTACGTGTTTTGTATTTGGATTTTTGTGACGATTTGAAATCCATTCTTTAATGTTTTGTTTTTATTGTTTTCTTCTGGGATAAATTGACTGTGCAATCCAAATTTCATCCATCTCCAGCATTGGGAAGTCTAAAAATGGATTTTGGTTTCTTTTTAATATTATTCATATCTGCCGCTTTTTTTTGTCTACACTCCAATCAGACAAATGTGTGTTTCAAAGGGAGTTTATTAACCTGTCGTGATTTAGAAAACTTTTTTTTTAAGATTTCTGACTATGGGTTCAGGTGTTTGCTGTTTTTTTAATTTAATGTGTTCATCATTTTCACACAACAGGTTTCCTCTGTGTTCAAATGCCTCTGTGAAACTGTAAGTCTCAAAAAGTATTTATCAGTGCAAGTCTAAATAATAAAATTATATAATTGGTAAAACAGTGGATTAACATCACTGCTAAACACTTACACCTTATAGTTAAAATCTATTTTTAAACTCTTAAATCTGAGAGGCGCACCAGAAATCTAAATCAGATTACCACATTTTCTCAAGACTAATTTATTGTAGTAAGATGTTGTAGCATTAATTATTAAAAACCAATTGAATGTAAAGAAATTAAGTTTCCAAATTGATGCACAGTTAATGTATTCAGGCTTTAAATAATGTCTGCAGCCATATGTGCAATTTGCATTTGTCTGCGAGGAAATCTGGTTATTTATGTATGTGACATTTTATTGTACAAAAGTCAAAGACATAGACCAACTGTAGTTTCATGGTCTTATTTCATATTGTGTGCTCTTATGTTAGATTAGGGGATGTTTCAGGGTGCATTTACTGTATGGTGTAAGAGACACTGGTTCCTCATGTTGTTTTCGGTCCATGGCTCACCTTCAGCCTTCCACTTCATCCAGGTTACTCTTCACAGCACTCAGCAGTTCATGAGACACTTTCAGGGGTTGGGTGAAGAAAATGTGGTGCGGAGAACGCGATGTCAAATGCACCAAACTGTTGTTCAAACAGTCAAATGTCACATTTTTACGTATCTGTTAGAGAAGGAAATAGTCTGGGGATTCTAAGCCCACAATATCATAAACACCTTGAAGTTGTGCATATGTTTTTCTTTTTTAAAAACCTGTCAGTATATTTAGTTGGTTTCGTGCATTTGTGTTATGTAAAATAATAACAAAGCAGCAGTGGTGAGCTTTGAAATATGGACCTCTTCATTCTTTTTTCAGTCTTTCTAACATTGCATATTCCTGCCATAACTCTGTGTGTGTGCGTGTGTGTGTGTGTGTACGTATGTACCAGTATTCATGTGATCTGTACATGTAGATGTGGTCTAGCGTTATCTATATTTGTAGCCTGGGCTCCGTGTCGGCGAGTGCGGCCCACTTAAGGGAAAGGGATGTCATTCTACAAACATAGCGATTATTGCACTGCATGGCCACCCAAACCAGCAGATCAATGCAAACTGCTCCACATGTCCAAAGTGCCAAATCATGAGCGGCGCATTTTGTCTTGTGCGTATGGAGGCATGTGTGCCTGTGTGAGTATGTGTGGGCATGTGTCCATGTAGTGTGTGTGAGTGTGCGCCTGTGTAACATAACGGTTATTTTTGTGTCAGAAGGAAATTTATTGAAAGATTTGTATAACAGTACATTAAAATTCTGATTTATGTGGCAAAATAAAGAGAAATTATTTTTAAACACTAAAGTGATGGTTTGAAAATATGTTTTTTTTTCCAATACTGGAAAATTAATATTGGTAGAGTAATTGCTGTGACTGAAAATTTAAATAGCATTAATAGTGAATACCAAATTGTTCTTGTAGCTTTCCTGCTGTATGTAAAATCCCTGGTCTAGGCTGTTTAAACTTCAAGATATTCTTTTAATAACATACTTTACAGAAGTTAACCTCACACTGCAAACACAAGGGAGAAAAATGACATAGGCATTCACATTTTCATATTGTTATCATTTAAGGAAAAAAAGTTTAATTTATCATAATTCAAATTATTCGGCCCAATACATATTTAACCCCTCCAAAGCTTTAAACGCAGTATAAAGTACATTTATGTGAGTGTGACAGGAACCTGAAGACTGCAGAAAGTATTAAAAAATCTCAGCACACGTCCCTGGCTTCTCAACTTCAGACACATCAGCTGTTGTTCATAATAACAACATAACAGGTGGTGGAGTAGTTTGTTGTGGTATTTAAATCCTTGACAATCTTTTAAGACTTATTTAATGAAGCAGTACCCTGATACGAAATGAATCAAATCAAAAAAACTTCTTGAGTAAGTGTTATTGACCCAATGTATTATGTAATACTCATAAACAAAAACCATACAAATCTGAATTCTGTATTTTTACATTATTATCACTGAGTGTATCAATGTGTGTAAGCAACTTTTTTACTGTGATGGCTTTTCGTGTGTGTGTGTGTGTGTGTGTGTGTGTGTGTGTAACCAGAGGTAGTAGTGGGCGGAGCTTCACTGTAGCAGTAGGTCAGCGCTGCTGTGTAAAACTCAGATCCACAGTATGACGTGAGAAAGTGGCACATTTAACCACATTCCCCGGTCTGGGGGATTTAAATACGGCCACAGAGCAGCTCAGCCTGGGTAAGAAGATTTCATCTGTTGACTGCACCTGGTTTTTTCTAGTTTTCTCTCACTTTTAAACGTGACAAAGGAGAAGGAGGACCTGTTGGGGAGCTAGCCTCGCTGAGCTAACGTTAGCCTGCTCAGCTAGCTTGTTTTGTTGTTGTGACGGGACTGAACACAGGAAGTCACTTTGCTTGTAACATGAACGTGAGACCCTGTCTGCCGTAAAGTCGAAAATAACAAAGTTTATTTAAGTTCTCTTTACGTGTGAAGCGACGTTTGGAGCCATGTGATGCATGTGCGTCATCCAGATGTGTACTTGCTGACAACCCGAAGACAAGCACTCGACGGGGGCTGTTTGTCTTCGCGTCTCCCGCTGTTGATGAAATCTGAAATTGTTGGATGACACTGTGCTCTGGCTGTTTTGTGTGTTTGTCAGACCTTCACTCTCCTGCAGCTCCTGTAACCAGGGATCCGTTTTAAGTTGCAGGTTTACTCGGGTAACACTTTCCAAAGTAAGAGCCAGACCCCCCTGCTAACCTGAGACACGTGCACACACACAGTTTAAACTTTTCTAAACAGTCCAGCTTCGTTTTCTCTTATTGGAGATGTGAACATGTGTGTATTCGAGCATGTGTCGAAGTTGAATCCTCAGCAGTTTCACATGACAGGAAGAGCTGACTGGTTAAATTTAGAGATGCTATCCAGTGTTGCTTCTTCAGCTTCAGGCTGCCAACATGTTGTGTGTTCAGATAACAGCTCAGCTGACTAGTGCTGCATTTCAGTTTTTCTGATGATATCCAGTGGTTTGTGTTTTTACTTAAATACCAGATCTGATACTGAGGTGAGGTGAAACCAGGGATCGCGGTTTGCCCTATGATTTATTTGTGCTTATGTGACAAATGTTTTTATATTTATTTTAGTGTTTTAATGGGAGTGCTGGAAAAAGAAGGGGATGCCTCGTAATGTTGCTTCAATTCAGTTTTATTTGTTTACCGCCAAATCATGATATACATTATCATGAGGCACTTTACAAAGTAGGGTTGAGCCCTTCAAAATTATAGAGAAACCTAATAGTTCCCACACTGAGCAGCACTTTAGTGACTGTGGAGAGAAATAATCTCCCTCATTCACATGGATATCAGTTCCATAAACATATGCCTGATTTTTGTCATCAGGATCCATGAAGGATTCCCTGAGAAAAAAGTGTAAATGTCTGAAAGCACAAACAACCTCCTCTAAAATAATTTTACAAAATCTAATAGTTTGCGGTATCAAAAATGTCAAACAATTTCTAGTTACGACTTTTCAAGTGTGAGTATTTGTGTCCAGATAGAGAGTTATTCAACATTTTCACTGTTTTCCCAGGGGATACTATGTAATATATTTTATTTTTTGTTGCAGCCCTACACTATTGGTTAATAAATTCAAAGTATTTATATATATCAGTGGTTTTAGATGAATATATTGATTCGGTCAAGATTTTTCCACCCAACCCAGAAGGTAAAGATGGCTGATACTAGTGGATTTTTGAAGAAAAACCACAGAAAACCATGACCAGCTTCATATTTTTTCCTTTAACTGATGAGCAATTAAGTCATTTAAACACACTCAAGTGACTACAGTACTAATCTGTGCCAGTGATAGCTCCACATTAATATCACCCTAATGTTACTTTATTTTATCGCTCATTAAATTAGATCACCCACATTAGGCCGACACAATAATCTGCTCTCCCCTTTTATCTGTATTACTGGTACTGAGCCAGTGCATGTAATGAATAGAAAATCTGGGTGCGTGTGTCTATTGTGTTGGGAGGAGATGGGCGTAGGCCAGCCCCCCTCATTCAATATTCAGTCTTGAGTGAAGGGGGGATGCTGAGCGTGAGCCTGGCAGTGCTTGTTGATACAGTGTGTGAGTGAGCGAGGGATACAGATTGGTGTTAAATAGCCAAATATAAGTTTCACCCTGCACTGAGGTAAGAGATTCTTCTTTTAACCTTGTTCTTCCAGAGAGCACATCCCATGTCTCCTCTAGTGGCTTTAATCATTTGTTGCTGCTTCTGTAGGTGTGTTTTCTCTGCTGGATTTACAGGATGTGTGTGTGTGTTGTGTTTAAAAGATATGTGTGTGAACTCCCATTTGATCATAGCTCAACCGAGAGAGAGATACATCTTTACTGATTGGTTCTTGTGTGGCGTTATCTTCCACCCATTGTGCCGGGAGACAAGGAGCTGAGGAGGGTGTGTCAACAGGCTTCACTGTAAACAAAGGATTTTTTTCCCCATTTGTGTGTGACACTGTGATATGGAAGAAGAGCTATAGGTGGTGTCTGACTGAAGAAACAGGGTCAGAGTTGGAAAAAAAGAGAGAAATGTGTTGATAGTCGTTGATTGGCAGCTTTGGATGTGACTGAAGTGAACTGACTGTTTTAGGCCTTTGTACTGGCAGCCTCACAGGCATGTGACATTTAAGTATTTATTGACCTGAGCCTGAGCTGCTCGCCTCAGGGATTATGGTGAAATACTGAGCAGTGTGTTTGATAGTCCTTATGTGTAACCTGTTTCCAGGACAACTCACAATCAACGCAGCCGATTCATTTGATGTAATTGTGGCAGGAAGGAAGCCGACCATGATGGAAGAGCCCAACTTGATGAATCATTAATGAGTTTCTTATCGATCGACTGAATCCCAGATACAACAAAGGCAAACAACATTTCCAGGGCTTTTCTTTTCAGTGTATACTCTACATATAATAATAATGGGAGCTTTTTTTTACCTCAGCCATAGAGGCCATGTTTTCATTGCTTTTTGTTTGTCAGAAGGATCAAGAAAAAATTACTAAACCATTTTATTGAAAGTTGGTGGAAGGGTGGGGCCAAGAACGATTTCTCATCGAATAATTCAGTGTCTTGATTGAAAAAATCTGGCATGCTCGAGTTCTGATATTTAATGTGAGAGTGTGTGCAATTTGGTAGAGATCCAAATACATTTTTTTTATTGGGCATTGTCACAGCTCGCCCAGAGAAAAAGTCATAGATCTTAATGAAAAAATCTAGCATATTTCAAATGTATATTTACAGTGTAGATTTGGAGTAGTTTAAAATAAAAATCCAGAATGAGTCCGATTAACTCAAACTTTATTGCCCAACTTTTGCTGTAATTAAAGAAAAACTGCCTGAAGAAAATGGGTTTTAAATGATTCAGTAAAGAGACAAACATGCTCATCTCTGTCTGGTTTAAAATAATTCCTTTAAGGTGCAGCCTAATTATAAATAATCTCCCAGAAGTCCACTGTCAGCATCGATTTGTCAGACGCAGATAGTTACCTAACTGTGTCTTACTGCTCTTTTCCATCATTTTTGAAGCAGTTGCATTAAAATACTGTGCAGCTGTGCACCTATTGTGCGTCCATTCATTTAAAAAAGCACTAATCCTGTTTAGTGTACACAAGTTTCACAAAGTCCAATTTAAGGCAGTGGAGGAGGTCGGAACTGAAGTCGGCCTCGCTGTAATTGGAGTGCGCAGTCGAGAGCATCAATTGTCCGAGTCATTAGTTCTTCAGAGGAGGAAAGTTGTTGGGTATTGTTTTTCTTCAGTGGTATTTGATGAGTCGCTGCACTTTCTTGTGATCCCTCTGCCTTCATTATACTGAGCAGACTAATTTCAGTTCATGTTTTCAGCATGAGCGGGCAGACAGAACTTAACCAGACTGAACTGAGTGCCCCGTTAGCTCCTTTAATGAGTGTGTAATGTCCAGAGCATTGTCCTGATGTAACCGGAGTTTAAACATCCTGGAGGGATAAGTCTTTATGCTAGTCACTGTCTTTTCTCACGAATGTTTTAAATATTGTTATTTTGTTTATTTGCTCTGTAACATGCAACATGTACTGCAAACCTCAGGATCCATCACTTGTGACTCTCCCTGAGGTTTCTGTGTTTTTTTCTCCTGCTAAAGAGGATGGTTTGGGCAGTTTTTCCTCATCCTAGGTAGAGTTAAGGACAGAGAACGGTGCATCTTTTGAAAGATTGAGGCAAATTGTGATTTGTAAATATAACAACAAAATTGCACTCTTTAACTTTTAAAAAGAAGAAGAAGAAAAAAGAAGGAAACACTTCATAAGGAACTAACACACAAATATACGTCACACACAGACCTGTTTATTCAGCAAGTCTACATCTAAACAGCAGATGTGTATTCTTTCCGTGAGTTTCATCTCTTTTTAAAAATATGACACCCTCTTTTCCTTTTTTAATTTATTATACCTGGGTCAACTAAAAGAGATCCAGCCTGTGTTTTGTGTTTGTCTGTGTTTGTGCATCTGACTTGAGTTTGGACATTTGTTTATTCCACAGCATCATTTCAAAGAAACACCACACCCTGCTTTCCATGTCAGATTTTAACTTCTCTGTTTTTCTCTTAGTAGAGTCATTCAGCTGTGTGGCAGTACCAGCCTGTGCTGTGCTGGCTACATAGATATGTGTCGTTGTTCTGTGACTAACTGTGAAAGTTAACCTGCTTTTCTCTTGCTCTACAGTGGTGTACAGGCGTTTAGAAGCGAGCCATGGATACCACTACCTCCCTGAAGATGACCTCCCTGGCTGTCCAGACTCTGTTCAGCTACGTGGAGGAGGAGAACCTGGCTGCCATCAAAGCACATTTGGACAAGTTCAGAGATGTGGACAGTAGGAGCGATGTAAGTCAGCACAACCCCCCTCTGTTTTCTCTGAATGTTTACTTTACGGGGTTCAGCATGCAGCGAACAAACTCTCTTAAAGATCACGTGATAGGTGTTGTGTGGGGAAAGGAGAATTACTGTACATCCATTGTGAAACTGAATGATGATTTTACTGAAAATGATCGTGAATATTGGTGGACTATAGTTTCACAGCTAAAACGTTCTGGGTTCAATCCCTGGTTCTTCTAGAGACCTTCTGTGTGGAGTTTCCTTCTACAGTCCTTGTATAATCCATGTAACAGTCATGGTCCTCTAAATATGTCTTTATTCAGTTGAAGTGAACAGGCTCAGACGGGCTGTAATTTGTTCTGGAATTATTGAGACAAGCACATTATTAGTTTTGAGATGTGTTGATGATTCCCATATCCTGAGGTTGAAACTGACTAATGGAAAAGCAACACGTAGGCCGTATCTCATCCAGGGATTGATCATGTGGATGTTGTACAGGATTAGAGTTCAGTCATCAAACAGCATCACCATCTGTCATTTTTTTCCCAGTGAGTTCTCAGTGGGTTACAGAGAAAACAGTGCAGTTAATTAGCTTGTTTTAATCCTCATCACAGTTTGTGTTCTTTCTCTCTCTCTCTCCTTATTTCAGAATGGACAGACTCCCCTGATGGTGGCAGCTGAGCAGGGCAATCTGGAGATAGTACAAGAGCTCATTAGGAGAGGAGCCAACGTGAACTTGGATGATGTGGTAAGCATGCATACGCACACACAAAGAAATCCCAAACTGCCTCATAAGAGCGCACACATCCAAACAGAGGTACATGTGGCGCTGGTGAGATATACAGAGGGCGTCAGAGTCCAGGCACAGGTGAAAAACAATGCGGTCATCTTAACCACATCATCCGCTTGACAACAGACGTGGGTGATTTTCTATCTTGCTGAACTCACCACACTCAGGCTAAGTCCTCATCTATTAACAGCCCTCATGAGCCATAATGACAACTTATTACGTTATTTTACCTTCACTCTTTTGACTAAATGACAGGATCCACTGGTTGGCCAACACCCTGTGTCTCCAGAAGCGAGCCCCCCCACACACGCACACACCTCTCATTAACATCTCACGTACATGTAACCTACTATTACACACGGCACACTCAAACCTGCGCTTGCTCTTACGCAAAGGAGGAAGAAGAAGCACAACAGGTTGTGGTTGCTCTCGTCTGTCACGTTCAGCTCTGTCCATGCAACATTGTGTTCCTATGAGCACCTGGTATGACCAGCTGGTAGGTACAGTGCTGTTACCGTTACCCAGGATGTGTCCATGTAGAGCTCGGACAAGCGTCAGTCCAACTGGATGTGGAGTCTGATGGGAGTTCCCACGGTAAACGGTTGTCTGTGTGTGCAGGACTGCTGGACGGCGTTGATCTCGGCGGCTAAAGAGGGCCACATTGAGGTGGTGAGGGAACTGTTGGAGAACAATGCCAACCTGGAACATCGAGACATGGTAAGAACGCAGGTGGAGACAAGATCTGGGTAATGTCATGGGAAAAAAGATTTAGTTTTAACTTTAGAGTAACTCATCAAAAGTTGTTTATTTTCCTGTAAAATATGTACTGGTGTTTACTGTTAGGTGTCTTTGCCTCTTAACCTGATCCTAACCTTGGTCTTTACTTCTTCACTATTCGTGTGTTACATATGTTGTATTGATATGTGTTAGCATGTATCATATTAACAGAGTCAAAAGTAGCAAAAACCAAAAGGTGAATTAGGTAACAATATTTGGGAGAAAAAGGAAAAAACCTAAAGGGATATTAATATATTCTCAGTGCAATTATGTCACAATTCATGTTTAGGGAAAAGATGATCAATCAGAGGTTGATTAACAGTCTGCTCGTACTCGTACTGTGAGCGACTTTTAAAATGTAGGCGTCTACAATTTGAAATGTAATAAAGTCATGAAGCCTTGATTTTATGTACATTAATGGTTTCTGCGTGGGGTGATGACCCCAGTGCTGGTCGGACAGGATGATCCATTGTCCTTGAAATGGACATAAAATGAAATTACTTTCTGTTTGATGGCTTCTCTCTAGTAGTAATCCCATTTACTGAGCTCTGGTGGTCTTCGCATGGAGCAGTGATATGATTTAGTAACTGGATACAGAGCTGTCAGAGGCAGACAGTTGTCTTCAGGAGCAATTGTGTGTATGAGTAGAGCATTGGGAACAGGAGATACAAATATTTATTACCTGGCACCAAGCATGTTTGGGAAAGCACTGTGTATTCCTAGGAGCATTTCCAATAAGCGTTATCCATTAGCAAGTAGCATAAAAGATGCATTCAAATTTTGTATTAGCACTAAAAGGTTGCACATTGGCGTGATATATCACATGTAGAGCTGATTTTAAACACTGAGCCTCTGTAACATTATGCAAGTGACTCAGGACATTAACAGAGTCATCGCTTTGGTGGGCGGGTGTAAGCTTCCCAGGAAAGATCACAGCCAGTCATCACAGTGGGGTTATAATAAACCACAGCATGGACACTGCTCACTCACTGGAAAATGTGTCACAACAGCTGGATATAGCACATTTTCCTACCACAAAGATCCACTTAGAATTGACCAACTTAGCATGTAATACTTATGTTGCCCATACACTGATCTTCACACTAAAAGTGAAGTTGGGACCCCCTTTATTCACACTGTCCTATATTTCACCACATGGAGAGTCAGACTCGCAGCCAAAACATAAAAAACCAAAGGTTTAGGTTCCAGGCTTGTAATTTATTGCGGGAAAACATAATTAGAAAATGAAATGCAGAAGTCTAATTTGCTATTGGGCTGATGATGTTTGTATTATTACATGTAATGTATGATCTCGTCCAATCCTCATCATTTTTATTCAGCTTATCTGTGTATGTGTTTTCCTCTCAGGGGGGTTGGACTGCTCTCATGTGGGCAGCCTATAAAGGTAGTACAGATGTGGCCCATCTGCTGTTGGAAAAAGGAGCTAACCCGAACATCACTGGTCAGGTACTGAGACCGGACACACTGTATTTTCTCTATCATCGTTGGTATCTGATGTTTATCTCTACATTGAAAGCTGCATTGAATTTCTGTCAAACAGGAAAGGTTGATAACCCCATGTCAGATTTTTTTACATCATGTGTATGATCTGATTGTTAAACCAACATAACTCCTATGTTATGCTATAAACTCAAAAACACGAGTTGTAAATCTCAGTAAACCTAATTTTAGATTAACATGAATATGAACACAGCCCTGCTCCTCACTTGCATAGCGTGATGCTTGGTGACGGGGTATCTGCTGTTTTCCTCATGTCACTTGGCCAAAAGTGTCAGTGTGACACTGATCATTAGTTGCTGACTTCAATCCTGTTCTCTTGCCCTATAGTACAGCGTCTACCCTATAATCTGGGCGGCCGGTCGCGGCCACGCCGAGATCGTCCATCTCCTGCTGCAGCACGGAGCCAAGGTCAACTGCTCAGACAAGGTAACCACATACTGAAAGATGTTCATCATTCGCTTCCTTTTAATCACACAGAAGATGTACTTAGTGGTATAAACTTAGAAGATTCAACCCTAGCTCTCAAGTCCTCTCCCCCTCTGCCTATATTTATCAATGTCACTTTAAAAATGATTTAAAATTCTCAAGCTTTTTGACTACATCCTCTCCTGACACTGGTTTCTCATGTTTTGTGTAATTTTTTCTTCTTAACGTCACAGTATGGCACCACTCCTTTAATTTGGGCCGCCAGGAAGGGCCACTATGACAGTGTGATGCACCTTCTGGCAAATGGAGCTGATGTGGACCAGGAAGGAGCCGTAAGTCAACTACATATTTCTTTAACTATCCTGTGAGTCAGTAGCAACCAGTTTTCATAGGACTCCAGTTTGGGATTTTAGTTAACATAATGATTTATAATAGAAGCAAAAGACCATTCATGTAGAGTTATATAGATACTTTGATTGTGATTGCAGCTTTTAATGACAGAATTCTAAAATATGACCAGAAGGTTTGTAAAGTTTGAAGTCTGGAAAAATGTGAAAAAATGTTTGTTACCTTTGCAAAGGTTTGCTTGTTTGTTTGTTTGCTTATCTATGCAAAAACTGCACAGTGTATTTCAAGGAAATGAGGTGAAAGGATGGGCCATAGGCCAAGAAAGAAGCCTTTCAATTTTGGTGTGGATACTTTCTTTAACATTGTGAGATTGGGCTTTTTTTTTTTTTTGAATTTTCAACAATTTCTAAGGAAATAATTCATGGATCTTGTTTAAAAATATTAGGCAGATTTATGGAACTGACATTTATGAATATGTGAGATTTGGTGCAGCTCGACTGAATTTTAGAGGAATGTTGGGTCTTGGTGGTTGTTGATTTTGACCAGGTACATTAACTGGTGACCAGGTTTCATTTTGTCTTGGGGTCACTGTAAGGACACACAAACCCTGTCTGTTCTCGCTAGTATGGTTTTCTCACAATCAAGATCTAACGCTGCCAAGCGCCACAAATGTGTCAGTAAACTGCAATATTAAATAATTGATTGCACCTATGACGCAGCACATCTGTTCTCCTTCGAGTCGTGTCGCATCTGTGCCAACACAAAGTGAACGATGTGATGGTTTGATATGTAACATCAATAATCAGATGGAACTGTGGTAGCTAATGTTTCAGAGCAATTAATTCATATGTGATTAAGAGACTCTAGCGCCTGGAAAAATATATGAATTATTGGGCTTGCTAAATGAGATGTCAATAATAAATTGTCATTAGGCCCGTCGTGTCTCCCAGAGCTGCGGAGATAAACTGACAACATGTGGGAAATACAGTTTGTCCTGATCAGCAGTAAATGATTGAACATCTGTCACTTGAACATTCAAACACCAACCAAAATCTTGACACACTGTCAGGTAGAGAAAAACATGTGAGAAATGTCAGGGTTAGGAAGATCCTTTTATGTGCAAATGAGCCCTTTCTTTTATTTCCCAGAATTCAATGACAGCTCTGATTGTGGCCGTGAAAGGCGGCTACACAGAAGTTGTGAAGGAGCTGCTGAAGAGGAACCCAAATGTCAACATGACGGACAAGGACGGCAACACAGCCCTGGCCATTGCTGCCAAGGAGGGACACACTGAGATCGTACAGGACCTGCTGGACGCTGGCACCTACGTCAATATCCCAGACAGGGTGAGGCCTCCTCACTGCAGCTTAACGTGCGGCTGTTTGAAACATGCAGGATGTCATAAAACGGTTTGTGTGAATGAAATATAACTCATGTTTGTCTCTGTCTGTTTTTGCTTTCTGTCTCTCTGTCAGAGTGGGGAGACGATGCTGATCGGAGCAGTACGAGGAGGTCATGTGGAGATAGTCCGAGCTCTGCTGAACAAATACGCTGATATTGACGTCAGGGGCCAGGTGGGAATCCTCTCCCTCAAATATAGATTTCTTACTGATGTTTAAATACAAGCAGCAGGCCTTCTCTGTGTTCTGTGTGAAATATCACACTGCTGCTCAATACTGTTCATGTATCTCTATTGTTCTTTGTTCAAGTGAAGTGAAATCCATGTGCACAAATGTACTTCTCCTGTAGTAATAGGCACAACGTGGCACACTTATATGAATTCCTGACACTGTTTACTTTTTCCAAGTTAAACAAGCTAGTATTTGCCTTGTCCTTTCAACACCAGGATGGAAAAACTGCCCTCTACTGGGCAGTGGAGAAAGGCAATGCGACCATGGTGAGAGACATCCTGCAGTGTAACCCTGACACAGAGAGCTGCACAAAGGTAAGACACAATCAGGAGTAAACAGGTTAATCTACTCTTTTCCCTCATTTAGATTTTTTGATAGTCACTTCTCACGTGTCATGTTTCTCACGTCATTTGTCTCGATTTCTCATAAACTCTATTTTGATCAATTATTACAATATTTCCATTCACTATATTAATTAAAGTATGCTGTCAGAAAAATGCTGTGTCTGTAAAATAAAGAAAATTGTTGACCAAAGATGCAGGAATACTACTCTGAAGATGTATATTTTTTAGTGTTGATAGATTATACATTTAAAGATCCAATGCATATAGGAATACACATAAATACATTTCATAATGAATGTGATAAGACATTTTGTTTTTGTTTTAGGAGGGAGAGACCCCACTTATCAAAGCCACAAAGATGCGGAACATAGAAATTGTGGAGCTGCTGCTGGATAAAGGAGGCAAAGTGTCTGCAGTCGACAAGGTACGCAATTGCACACAGATCATGTTTGTACAGAAAACCTTAATTGTGTGTAGTTTTATTGATCTGAAGCTTCAGTTGTTCAGTGAATCAGTCCATTCTCTTTCTCTTCGCACAGAAAGCAGACACGCCGCTCCACATTGCCATCCGAGGTCGGAGCCGGAAATTGGCCGAGCTGCTTTTGAGGAACCCTAAAGACGGCCGCCTGCTTTACCGCCCCAACAAAGCTGGAGAGACCCCGTACAACATCGACTGCACCCACCAGAAAAGCATCCTCACTCAGATATTTGGAGCCAGTATGAGCAAATTTCTTCTTGTCATTTAGAAAAGATTATGTGACAAAAAGAAAAAAGAGAATATTAAACTCTTCAACTTTATATTTTCTCTTCTTCCCCTTTGCCTTTCTTTTATTCTCTCTCAGAGCACCTCTCTCCATCAGAGTCAGACGGAGACATGTTGGGTTATGACCTGTATAGCAGCGCTCTAGCAGACATCCTGAGCGAGCCCACCATGCAGCCACCGATCTGTGTTGGATTGTATGCTCAGTGGGGCAGCGGCAAGTCTTTCCTTCTTAAGAAACTGGAGGGTACGTAAGAAAACAGGAAAAGTAAGGACATTTAGAAACATGTCTTTCCTTCAATCCCTCTGTAACAATTTAAGAGTTTGTTTACACATTCCTTAATATCCTTGTGTTTTCATCTCCGTTCACTTGGGTGAAACATCTCACATGGTACTTTTTTCTCTTCCTTTGTATTCATTAGACGAGATGAAGACATTTGCTGGCCAGCAGATAGAGCCATTGTTCCAGTTTTCGTGGCTGGTGGTCTTCCTCACCCTCCTACTCTGTGGCTCGGTAGCTGTGGTCCTGGGCTTCACTGTTGATCCGAAGCTGGCGATCGCTGTCTCCCTCAGCCTCCTCGCACTGCTCTACATCTTCTTTGGTGAGAGGACAGAAGATGTGACGCTGCAGTAGTGACGTTTGAGGAAATTTAGTTTTAATTTGGGGATGCTGCAAATGGATATTTCATACCTATTTTTAGATTGTTCTGGTAGTTTTATTTAATATATGTAACAAACACACATTGTCATACATCATGTGTGTCTTCTATAATCTCATCCCCGAATCAGTGCTTTTGTGTCCTCAACCTAAGTGTAAGGAACTAATTTAGAGTGATCTTCAGATTGCTTAGAAAATAACAATATAGATATGCATTACATTTCCATTTAAACAGAATTAACCTTTTATTCATGATACTTTTGAAACTGATTTGCTCACTAGAGGGAGCCATTGTACAACCAATATCAAACATGATGTGTTGAGCTTTTGAATTTACATCGTTGATTTTTAAGAGAAAATAACTCGCTCATATTTAAGAGCTTAAACCATGATAGTAATGAAATTATATTTTATAGCACTGACACCTCAATAAAAAGCTAAATGAACTGATTAATTGACGACCCCTTCTCCCATCTCCAGCGCTGGTGTACTTTGGAAGTCGCCGTGAGAGGGAAAGTTGGAACTGGGCGTGGGTCATCAGCACCCGTCTCGCTCGCCAGGTTGGCTACCTGGAGCTGCTACTCAAACTAATGTTTGTCAACCCGCCTGAGCTTCCTGAGCAGACGACCCGTGCCTTGCCTGTCAGGTGACAAGGACAGACACAAATATACTCAAGTCACTTCACTTCACTTCACTTTATTTCTGCTGGAATATTAAAAGATCAGCTTCCCACGTCCGAGACAAAACATCTTACCACTCTACATTCATTATGAGCTATTAAAGTCAATATGAGGTTGTTTTTATAGAAAATAATCAATTTCCCACCTCTCTCTATGTCCAATGTCACACAGATTCTTGTTCACGGATTATAATCGCTTATCCAGCGTTGGAGGAGAGACGTCCATGGCTGAGATGATTGCCACGCTCTCAGATGCCTGTGAGAGGGAGTTTGGCTTCATGGCCACAAGACTCTTCAGGGTTTTCAAGAACGATGAGATCCAAGGTGACGTCACTGTCTTTGGTTTCAGATGTCATGTATCAATGTTTAGCCTGCACACACAGTCTTATTTTACTGTTGAAATTAAAAAAATAATCAGCTCACATAACATCAATCTAATATCTACGACTGATAAAGTGAAATACAAAATGGTGGTTTTGAGGTGTAATCAGTATAAAGTAGTTGCTGTGCAGTTTGTGCCAACAGTGAAACCAAAATAGAATTAGATTGTTGGTAAAATGACTCTTTTAAACATAATGAAACTTGTAAACACAGTAAAAGCAGTGCCTCAGACATGTTTTTCTCATTCTCCACCTCATTCTATGTTTAAGCTTATGCTGCTCTTTGTAGAAAATTAAAGAAAAAGGATTGTTTTGCCCCTCATCCTCCAGGAAAAAAGTGGAAGAAAACTTGTTGCGTTCCCTCCTTCGTGCTGTTTGCCTTGGCACTAGGCTGCCTGATCACCGGTATGGCCCTGCTGGTCATCTTTAAGGTAGGTTAGATCAATAAGCTGGGGACCCTGCATTAAAACAGTGCTGTCTTATAACCACTAGGTCATTGGGTGCTCAAGTATTCAATTTGAATCCTTTTATTTTGCAGGTGGACCCTGGGAACTTGACAGTAAATTCAGTGCTGATAGCTATGGCCAGCGTTGTGGGTCTGGCTTTACTGCTCAACTGCAGGACCTGGTGGCAAGTGGCAGATTCCGTCCTGAACTCCCAGAGGAAGCGCCTGCACAGTGCTGCCAACAACCTGCACAGACTCAAGAGTGAAGGATTTATGAAGGTAGACAAATGCACTTTATTCAGAACCTAATCATGAACGGTTGGACATCCTTTGACATGCTGTTGTCATAGCTCAAGCAAAATTGAATTTGTTAATTATGGTCACTTGAGCCATTCATTTTTTTTTCCATCTCTCACCAGGTTCTGAAGAACGAGGTGGAACTAATGTCAAAAATGGCCAAGACCATTGATGGTTTCACCCAGAACCAGACGCGAATGGCCGTCATCATCGATGGCCTGGATGCCTGTGAACAGGACAAAGTGCTGCAAATGTTGGACACGGTGTGTGTTTTCACTTGTGCAGACTGTAAACAAGTTAATGTGAAAGAATTAACATGCTCAACATCTGTCTGTCTTAAATTTAAACCATGGAACCCACTGTTGTAAAACAGCTGCCACAAGCTCTTTCACCTCAGAGCCCACACATCTCTGCAGCAGTGCAGCCCCCTGGTGCTCCTCGCTGCCTCATCTCACCTCCATGTTTAGATCCTTCCTTCCAGCTGCTGTAATATAATGTTATTATTTGGTGAAGTAATCCCAGAAAGCATGGCAACCTCCTGCGTGCTAATCTAATCTTCTCATCTTCTCAAGCACCTCCCCATCACTCTGAAACCATTTTCAGTTCAGACATCAAAGTAACCTCAGAAATCAATCTTTAGTAGTTTGCACAAATTAAAAATTAATCTGTTTTCAGTCTGCATACTTTTCTTACCAGACACTGTACATTAAAGATGCAGAAATCATGTGATGGCGCCTTAGTTGATTGTGCTGAAAGGCGGCTGTAGAGACGGAGGTTTATCATCCTGTGGGACGAGCCCGAGGGCGCTGGCCGAGTTTTAACAAACCGTGTCCGCATGTAGCACAAAGCGATGTCCTGTGACACTTGGACTGTGTCCCTTAGTTAGCCAAGTGGAAATCCCCAAAACCATGTGCTGCGGACAGTCAGCTCTCACAGGACTTATTAAGTTTAAGCACCACAGCGAGCTTTTGTTGTCATGTTGTTGATTAGATTATAAACCCTCCATTTTGAGGGTTCTGTTGACCTTAAATTCCTTCTTCTTTTTTTTTTGGCTCAATCAAATTAAGTCCACATGAACTACATCCTTCACTCACAAACTCCTGGTTCATTTCTTGTTGCAGGTGAGGGTACTATTCTCCAAAGGCCCCTTTATCTCCATCTTTGCCAGCGATCCCCATATCATCATAAAAGCCATCAACCAAAACCTCAACAGTGTGCTGAGAGACTCCAACATCAACGGCCACGACTACATGAGGAACATCGTCCACCTTCCAGTGTTCCTAAACAGCAGGGGCCTCAGCACCTCTAAAAAGCTTTGCATGGCAGCCCCCAGCAATGGAGAGACATTGCCTGCTGAAGGTAAAGGACAATGGCTTATATATATGTATATATGTATATATGTATATACATTCACAAGCATGTCAGCTGTCATTCTCTTTGTCATATCCTATTTCTCTCTCTTCAGGATGGCATGACGACTTGGACAGGAAGATGTCACAGACCACCTTGGGCCAAGACCAGGCCAAGTTTGGCAGCAAGAATGCCCTTAATCGCAGGGTAATGGCATATTGAAGTTAATTTTTATTTGTATAGATTGTACAATGTTTTGTAGGTGTTTATGGCTCCATGTTAGTGGTTCCTGACCCCATTATGTATTTGATCTATATAGCCGACATCAATATTAAACATAGAAGAACAGACGCTAAGGAAGACCCATGACAAATTAACAAAAAACTATGGGAGGGGAAAGTCAAAAAGAGATGCTGAGATGGCAGTGGAATCAATAGGAGTTATAAACAGGCAATGCTTGAAACAAAATCCAAGAGTAGGTTTATAGTAAGACCAAAATATCAAGCTTAGTATATTGTAATTGCCACCCGAAATAGACACAGTTCATACCCCCCCACTTCATAAAACCAAACAAAAGTCCAACAAAAGAACATTTTCATACAGAAACTCAAATGGAGACAGACGTTTTCACAACACGGTGGACATTAATGATGGATGTCCCCACATGAATGAAAACAAAATTAAAATGCTGTTAGTTCACCACAACTTGGATAGAAAACACTTAGGGTGAGAGAAGCTGCCTGAGAAACCCCTGGCTGCTGTCTCTCTCCTCAGCCTCCTTCCTGAAGGGGCTGCTCAGTACATGCGTGGTGTTGGCAGGCATCTCAGAGTCCAGAGGACAGAGGGAGACACACAGAGATGAAAAAAGCGAGAGAGGTGCTCGGTGTGCGGCCAAGGTTCCTGGTTTAATTGATGTAATGGCTGTTTATCCTTCCTGCTGCGTTGCCACAGCCTAATGACAAGGCCTAGCAGCAGTGGGTCCCTGTGACAAAACACTGGCACCAGGTCTGCTGGCAGGAGGCTAAGTGACTCTGCTGCTGTCGCTGATGCTTTCCTACCCTCCCTGCGGGACCATCCCACTAACTCCCCCTTCCTTCCTTCCCGCCTCCCTCTCTTGTTTGTTTGTTTGTTTGACATTTGTTTGTACCTCGGGTTTATCTTGTACCGTCAATTATTGGTGTCTGCCCTTTTTATTACAGGGCAGTGTGCTCTGTTTACTTGCCCTCCGCCACTAGCTCGCTCTTGGCAGGAGGGTCCTCTCTCTACAAGTGGAGCTTCAAATGAGGGCAGGAGGGGAAAATCAATTAGTGCCTCTCCATTTTCATGTGGCTTCTCAAGTCGTGGATGACATTATGAGTATCTCCACCATCTAATTTCCATTTATCGGAATTAAACAAATCTTGTTTACTAGGAAAAAGATTATCATCTAGAACTTGGCATTCAGTATTTTCGTCTTCCCTAAATTTAGATATTTTATTAACCTCAATGACTGACCAATGTGTCAATGGGGAGAAGAAGAACCAGTGAGCAAATAAATGTAAAAGTAGCAGTAAAGCTTTAGACCTGCAGAAAAAAATCAATACATATTGTAGAGTCAGGCCGCTGAGGCTGACTGTACGATATGTACGGTCTGATAGACCTTTTCAGGACGGGCTGAGTGGTGGCCATATGTTTCATCTCTCTGTGAAAGAGGTCATGAGACTGGTGTTACGACTTCAAAGTCAACCAAAAGCCTCATCTTGGCTCATGACCACAGCAGCTGTCTGATATCATCACAGATGTTCTCCGGTAGATCTGTGTCAATAGCTCGCCTGTGTGTCATGAGTGTTCAGCTCTGGACTATGGCTCTTTGATTTTTATTTGCAGTCACACAGAATTACATGTTTTGCTCACGAGGACATGATATGGAATGGGCTGAGTGTGAGAAAAAAAGAAGAAAATATTACTTGGTTTTACTCACACCACTTCACATACAGTTTCTCTTTTTCCCAGAATGGAAAAGTGGTCTCAGACTTTAGCTCTGTACTTTAATTGTAGACCTTTGCTGGGTTATCTTGATGCACTAGAAGAATAAAACAGACCAGCAATGTATAACTGTACGGCATCTATTAAAGTGCTATCAAACGTTGAGTTTGCTATCCATCTAATATTTTTATAGATGAGGTCTCATGATCACATGCCTTAAGATCACAAGTTGACCCTGAAATGATGCACACGTGTGTACAATCTCAAAATTCAGCCAAGGTCAGGGAAATATTGTGGTATTTTCGTTTCAGTTTGTCATCAGAGATCAAATTTTAAGACTTCTTGAGAGTATGTTTCTGATAAAGGTGTCCTGTGGCTGCAGGTTTTTAGATCCTGGGCTCCTGTTTGTCTTTTCATGTTTTTATACCGGTTTTGTTGGTTCTCTGAAGAATTTCTCCCATTTTATTATATAACAGTACAATTCTGACTCATTCCCCAAATTTTTCAGCATCGAATTTCAGTGATTTGATGCTGAAAAACAGACAGTCATTTCCAATATTATGCTAACTAGACTAACTGTCCCCTTTGTACTCATCAAGGACACATACAGACGTCGCCAAATGCAGAGAACCATCACCAGACAGATGTCATTTGACCTCACCAAGCTGCTGGTGACTGAAGACTGGTTCAGTGACATTAGCCCACAGACGATGAGGAGGCTGCTCAACATTGTTTCTATCACAGGTAAGAAATAAATCACTCTCTACATTAGCACCAAAGTTGTTAAGCCTTCATTTATTCTAGCCTACAAGCATCCATAGCTGATTGGTTTGTGCTGTGGGTTTTTGTGTATTCACACACATATATACACACATGTAATATATATGTATATATTTTTTCTTTTTTGACAGGTCGTCTGTTGCGAGCCAATCAGATCATTTTCAACTGGGATCGGCTGGCGTCATGGATCAACCTGACAGAGGAGTGGCCTTACAGGACGTCATGGATCATTCTGTTCCTGGAGGAGACTGACGGAGTGTCTGACCAGGTCGCTCTCAAGACCATTTATGAGAGGTATACACACAAACACACCTACACACACACACACACACAGATAAAATAAGTTATTCGTAGCTAATCTGATCTACTAGATGTACAGGCTTCTTACAAACATCTGTGTATATTTTCTTTCTTTCTTTTATTGTGTCTCACCTTCCCTCCCTCTTTTTTTTGTCTTTCCATCCCTTGTCATTTGAACTTGGGCCACACATTTGACCAAATGAGAGCAGGTTTAACAAAAGATAAATTAGATTAATCGTCTGGCCAAGGGACCCAGCTTTTGACAATAAAACACTAAACGCTCACTAAGGAGATCAATAAACCAGAACACAACAACATAATCTGTGTTGGGGTTAATGAAATAACAACATTACTTGCCTTTTCTCTGTGAGATATGCAAGTTGTAAGTGAGATGCAAGTATTTTGACCATCAGGTGGCAGTAGAGGATTTTCTCTGGGCTCGGCATCAGTGCGCTGTGACTGCCAGTGCCTGTAAGTGCCACACTAATAGGCAACTTTTTTGTAATTGATAATGACGTCTGTATTATAGCAGTGACCTGATTCAAGAAAGGATAATTTCCTAAAAGCTGTACAAGAGAAAATAGAAGGACACCTTTATTTGAGCAGTAAAGGGAAATTATTTCTTTCTTTTCTTTTTCTCTCTGTATGAGTGTGTATGTGTGTGCGTGTACATGTGAGTGTTTATGCCTTTTGTATGTGTGTGGTCACGGACGCTGTTTGACGCGCTCAACACAGACAAGAGGAGGAGGGTCGACGCCGGCTGAAGCGCTGGGTTTGGGTGCTGTTGTGCATCAGTCGTTGGCCTTTAAAGGTTGCACTCTGTCACAATACACTAGCACCCACAGCTCCTACGGCAGGAAAGTGTCACAGACAGTTACTGTCAACCAGTCAGCCAGCTAGATCTAGTAGACAAACCTCCCTCCTCCCATCTCCCAGGCTAGCTGCTGTCTCATTAGCTGTTTGGTTTTCAGCGGACAATAGGCAATACCTTCCTCTTTTCTTCTATATGGCAGTTAAGTGTTACATGTGACTTGTATAGTATTCAGGAGTGACAGCTGTACAAGAATCATTTTATTCAGAAGGCTGTAGTTGTATTTTTTGCACATGAAGGATCTCTATATTTTGTAATGCTGGAAAAAATGTCACTACACTTTTTCATTCTATATCTTTACCATGTTTAAGTATAGTGGAAACCTCATATCCACACTTTAACCACAATTATTTTTGAAAATAAAACTGGCAGATCTAGCTACACACTAGATCTGGATACAAGTGCATTCACCACAGCATGGTATTGTGCTTACACTGTTCATTAGACTTAATATAGCCATCATCTTGTTTTTGACCAACAGTCCTGTCTTTCTTTATCTCCCTCCTCACTGGGTGTCTTTCCAAATGGCTGTTCTGTTTTCCGCAGTGGCCATCGCAGAAGCACCCTTAATGATGATGACAGGAAGCCTCAAACAGGCTAAATACAACGCCTTGCCTAGAGGCCTTATCTCATGAGCTAATCTTCAGCTGATAAGACTCTGGCCTGTCTGTATATCTTTTTCTGTCTCCGTGCTTGCTCTTTTCTTCCTCTTTCTTATGATATGAGGCTCTTTACATCCCCTTTTGTTTTTGCTCTGGATGAGTTATTCTGTCTTTCTGTCCCTAGAGCGATAGATGAGCACTTGACTGGCCTCTTAGAACCTCAGGCCCCTTCTTCTAACTGTCTGTCTGTTTGAGAAAGGGATAGCTATTTGTCTTTGCTTTCCTTTTCAGCAGTGTATATAAATACATGCACATACAGCATGTGTACACATATCGCTCATACTTCTGCTTGTGTTTTTCATAGATAATACTATTATTATAATAGTTATAATGAGCTTTTTTTGTTTGTTTAATTCTATAACTGACATGTTTCAGACGTCACACAGGTTCCTCGTGTTTTAGCATGCATACGTGTGTACGAGTTGTTTTTTTCACAGCAGAACTGCACATCCCCTGAGCGTTACTAAGTGAATATATTAGTGGTGAAGTGAACGTGGGGGTGAGTCAGCCCCTTATAGGTCAACTGTCGCCCTGCATCTCAGTCACAAGTCAGCGAGCTCTTCCTCTTCTCTCCTCTTTGTAAAGCTCACTAAAGCACAGCAGGCCATAGTAGTACACAGAGTATTAGAAAAATATAATATATTATAAACAATACGACTGTAGGTGCTTTCTTTTTGCCATTTTCCATCAATAAAAATAAAATGTGAAATTTCTTTTGACTAAACAATCTGAGCAGAGAAAAAATCAACCAAGCCCGACCCGAACCCAAAAAGCATTCTGTTCTTTGCGTGCAAACCTGCTCCGAGCCCATTGCAGTTATTTTAGCTGCACGCTGTCCCTTACTCACATATAGCTTGTTTTCCCAGACTACAGACATGTGCTGTGTAAAAACTCTGCCCAGCCAATTGACTTGAACCTGAATAACAATTCACATTTTTTGTCTGAACCTGGGTCAGGTATCCTCTCTCTAATTTAAATGCAGCTTATGTGCCAGGAGATGTTCTCAGTTTAGCCTGTTAAATTAAAACTAAATCACTGAACAACACAGAAATCTTGTGTGAATAACAGAGTGCGTCTTAGTGAGGAAGAAGACAGCCGCTCTATGTGGCATGTACCTGAACTCCTAGAAAAGGAGGAAAAAATAGAGACACTCACCCACCTTCCCTCATATCTCACAGAAACACACACGCTTTCAAAACAGCTAAAAGCCGTTTTTAGCTTGCCTGGCAATAACAAGCGTCCATGATGGGGTGCTGTGAGGTGTCATTGTAGGACACGGCGTGAAGAGAAATGTGTTGCGCTAATTCCCACAGAGGGAGCGGGCCAGTACAGCCTTCCTAATCTGATGGAGAATGTGTAATCGGTTAATAACCTCAGCAATTCTATCATTAATGGTAAGAGCGGGAGCTGCCCAGACTAACTCAAGATAGCAGGGGGAATGCATTGTGTAACAAAGATGGTACTGTCTGTTGGAGATACTGGCTCAAAACAGTGAAACTTACTCTCTCTCTCACACACACACACACACACACACACACACACACAGAGTATAACTAAAGTGTTCTGTTAGCTCTGTAGGGGAATCTATAAATTACAGCTCGAGCATTGAGCCACCGTCACAGAAGAAACTCAACAGGAAACAAAACAAGGAGCGTATTTGTGCTGACCGCCATATTTGTAGCTGTCAAATTAACAACGCCAAATCCAACCATTCAAATGCCGTTTTCTTTTTCTTTTTTTCATCCCTGGCAAATTGAATTTGGAGCCTGCAGCCTTGTGACTATCATTTCAGCTATATCATTTCTTCCCTCTCAGCGTTGTGTCTCTCAGGAGTCAGTTGTTCCTTGTTTTAGCTGCCATTAGAGACTTAACGACTGGAGCTAACCTAGCTCTCTCCTGCTTCATGGTTATTGCTTTAAAGCAGCCCTGCCATTTCCAAATACTCTTAATAGGCTTTTGTACGTTTATTTCCTTGATGTTGTTTAGAGTCATTACATTACACTCAGCCATTATTACGTGGAAGCTCCTCTGTGTAGTGACTTCAAGTGAGGGAGCAAGTTCACCTTCTGGATCTTGTTCAAGGACACTTCCTGGTTGTTGTTGTTGTGACCTTTATTTTTGTTTTTTTTAATAACTACTCACCTTTATTCTTTTAAATTCCATTAGCCTTCGTTGCATGGTTGTGAGTGTTGCTGGGGGATTGTAACTTTTTAAAAATTAAATTACAACCAAATTTCCTCACTTAAATTCCATGTCCCCTTGTAAGAAAACGAACTGATCCGATTTTCGTCAAACCTTACTGTAACAATTTGCTTTAATTTTTATGATCAGCTAGTTTAGAATTAGCCTCACTGCTTATACTTATCTATCTTGTATTTTACTGTTCATACAGTGTGTTCATTCTGTTACTGTGGCAGTGTCTCTGAGGTGTTTGTCTTTTTAGTGGTGATTGTTTTTTGACCTTGTTGCAGTTGTGGGGTTAACAGATTTGGACCCATTAATGAATGAGGGTGGGTTTAGTGAGCTCCACAGAGAGTTTATTCCTGGACGCCCAGATCCCGTTTTCAGCTCTCAAAAAAAAAAGTGTCACTGGTCCACTGAGCAGGTTCCTGCACTGCTCTGACATCTGGTGCCCTCTCTGTGCCAGGATGCCCCCAGCCGTACTCACAAGTGTGTTTCTGGCACTCCACCTGAATCTTCTGTTCATTACACACACACACACACAAATAACTGTATGCCATACACACACACACACACACACACGTTATTGCATCTATCTTAGTGAGGACATTTATTGGCATAATGCATTCCCTAGCCCCTTACCCTAACTGTAACCATCAAAACTAAATACCTAACTTAAACCTAATTATAACCCTAACTTTAAAACCAAGTCTTAACCCTCAAACAATCCATTAAAAGTGGGTCAAAAAAAGTGAGGACCGGCCAAAATGTCCTCACTTTGTAGGTTGTAGGCTCAAAATGGTCCTCACAAAGACGTCTGTATAAGAACACACCAACAGGGATTTGTGGTAAAACACATGCATGCTGTAACTAAAACAAACGTACATGCAAACAGTATTTGCCACTATAAGCATTTATGATTGAACATATGCATGCAAACACCTCAAATCACACATAAAGCGGATGCAAGTAACAAACACACACACACACACACACACACACACACACACACACACACACACACACACAGACACCTAGCTCACACCAGTGCAAGAACATATGTCACCCCCAACTCCTCTGGGAATTAGTGTAATTAATCAGACCCTGAGATGCAGGCTGCGTTCAACAAACACACGTATGCACCGAACACACACAGCTCACGTTCACGCGGTGCAGGAAGCAGAAGGCAGCATAGAGGTAAGGCAGGTTACTGTTTAGAATTGCTGTTCTTTGCAGTGTTGCCGTTTAATCATCTACAAATCTTGCGGCACTGTATACTTTTTAATTCACAGTTTATGAAGAATATCACTTTCTTATTCTTTTTTTTCCCTTCATCGTCTCCTCTGTTTTGTTCACCTGACCCTGAATTTCCACTTCCAAACCTCCCTGCTTTCAGAAACATGACAAGCCAGGCACTTCTTGGACACTTCAAAACTTTTTTTTTTTTTTTGCACTAATCACACTCTGAGTGAATACGTAGCCAGGCAATTCAGTCTTAATTAGAGAGACTCTTATCCCAAGCACTGAAACATTAAGATGACACTCTCTTCATTCAGGATTACTTTAATTGGCACAATTATTGTAATTTGGTTGCTGGGATAAAAGCGCTGTTCTAAAGCTCATGTGGGTGATTCCCTTTATGTGGAATCCTTTAATAAGCTCTTATATCTGTCTGCATAGAAAAAGAATGGAGGGATCCTATTCTTTTCTTATGATGAATACTTTTGAACTTTCCCTGCTCTCAAATGAAAAGTCTTTATTCTTTGCCACGCGGCCTATTATTCATGTGAATCCCCATCAAATTCATGACACATTCTATAATGTGCACACACTGCAAATGCTAAAAAAATGTTTCTCTCTCTTTCTGGGTCCTTGAGATGCTTTCAGACATGATCTGAGGGTAAAGTCCAGAGAAATAGCTATGGCGTTTACCCGCAGTTTTTCTTTCACATATGCACAATGCAGTGGGAGGTTCTCTGCACAACAACATCAAATCCTCCACATTATTCAGGCGAGAGGTGGTTCAGCCGAGTGCAGCTGACAGGGACAGGAAGTCACATATTAACTCTGCTGTGTAGATCAAGTGATTTTCTTGAAAACAAACAGACACAGCTCTTATCACCACAAATTCTCTTGACATCTTTGGCAGTGTCTTTTATGTGTGTGTCACCACTTTTTCATTTTTGCGTTTGTCGCTTGTTTGAAGTGTCATCAACACATTTACATTCACATGTAAGAAGGAGGAACTGCGGAGTTCAGTGCATGTCTGAAAGCAGCTTTAGGAAGCCCATTGCCCCTGTGCAAAATCCCTCATGGAGGTATTTTAGTGAACAGCGGAGCAAAAATGGCTATTCGATCACTCAGTGCGCCGCCATTTGCCAAGAGAACCAGAAGACGTGTGCGAATTTGTAAAGGCTGGTGTGAAGCCACCTAGGTCTCAGTAGAGCTCTGGCTCCGTCACTGATAGGATACCAGCATTGAGTCGACACACAAGAGTGTGCTGACTGACTACCTGACGGAGGAGCAGATAAATAACAGACAGAGTCAAAAAAAGAATGTATGGTTGGCATGAGATAAAGATGGAAAAGGGAGAGGGGTGGGATGAGATTAGAAAGGGCATAAAGAGAGAGAAAAAAGAGTCCAATCTCAGGAGGTAAAAAGAGATAAAGGAATCAGAACGTGTGAAAACTGTAGAGGATCAGACCAGATACCAGCAGGATTATTGCGAGACGAATTCGCCATTGGTGAGCTCAGGTCTCAGGTGTATTCATAGCCTCAGGTGATGCTGCTGCTCCAAGTGAGATAGCCCAGGTGGTGGACACATACAGATTGATGCACGTCCCCCTGGGTCCAACATGGCTGTTAACATTAATGAAACTGGTCCTCTGCTGATTCCAGCTTTTTGTGTACGTATGTGTGTGTGTTTGTGATAGTCTGTGTATTAAAATGTATAACCACCAAAAGAACCCCCCCCCCAAAGTAGAGTCAAAGCATCCCCATTGCCCCATGGAGG